GTGGGGGGGTCACATTTTATAATTGATATAATATCAGGGACCCCTAAGCTCCTAAAACACATGGTGAAACATTTTTTCCTCCCAAATAAAAAGTCATGACATAGTAGGGCTGCAACAAACGACTAATTTGATAATCGATTAATCTATCGATTAATTAAACGATTAATCGACTATTCGGACTATTAGGCTATGCCTTGCACAATTTCTCAAACGCTCTGATTTAGCCATCAACTTTTAGCTTGAGGTTGTTTTAGGCATGTGGAAACTAACAATGAAGACAATAAAGATGAATACTTGATTCAAAAATACATATATTATTAAATTAACTAAACACATTTTGAACAAAATTAACATTACTTTTTATTTAAATTAAATAAATAATATTTCACATCAAAAGAAACAACAGTGTTTTAACAAATCCTATTAAATAATGTGATGACAGAATTGTAAACAGAATAGGTTAAACTTTAACAAAATAAAGAATAACTCAGTTGCCTCTCATCATTAACCCATGTTTGTATCATTGAGTTAACTCCGTGTGTTGCTGCTAGCATACATAACACCTGACGTGGAAACGTTACTCGTGGATGGGGCTACAGAGCTACTAGAAAGACAGTCCAACCCGGTGCATTCCTCCGTCTGGATGTGGAGCTCTTTTGATAAATGTTTAGACAAATTGCTCGTGTTACCGCCCTGACATGATAAACTCTTATTGCACTTTTGGCAACGAGCATTGTCCACATCGAGACGGGTATAGTTTAACCACACCTCGGAGCGCTTCTCTCCACCATCTCCACCGTGTGTTGCTGCATGTAGCAGCCGCGTGTGTGTAAACTGCCCCGCCCCCTCACACACAGACGGGGGAGAGAGATCTCGTCTGATCGAAAATACATCATAGACGCATTTGTTTGTCTTTTTGCATGTTAGAAACAAGTTGGTGACACTAAGACTGCGATATAATGTTTTTGTAGCAATAATACATGACATATATTTTTTAAATGTCTCCAGTACCAATAAAAAGACCAATAACGTTGGAGCTTAACGGCGCGTAAAACACACGTGATGACGTCACCAACGAATCGACGACTGAATTAGTTGGCAACTAATTTGGTAATCGATTAAGTCGATTAGTTGTTGCAACCCTAGCAGAGGGTTAAAGATGATTTATATACAAAAATAGTTGCGTCTCTCTACTAGGCACTATGGGGTGGCAAAATGTGCTTGACAAATGTGCTTTCTTCAGTCAGAGTCTCAGGACCAGGTGTTTCTGCGTTGGACTACAGGAGAGACCGCTACCATGCACATACTTGTAGTCCATGCCATGGTCATCCTGCTGACTCTGGGGCCCCCTAAAGGTAGTCATGTTCACTTTCCCGTTAATCGTTTACAATGTTAAATGGGCTTTGCTAATGTGTTTACCATTGTGCATTTTACAGGAGAGAGTGATTTCTACGCTCTTTTGGACATTTGGTTTCCCGACAAGAAACCCCTTCCCACTGCCTTCCTGGTTGATACCTCAGAGGAAGCCCTTCTGCTGCCTGATTGGTTAAAACTGAGGATGATCCGATCAGAAGTTTCTCGATTGGTCGATGCAGGTACAACTTGCCATAGTGGACAAGAAAAGGTGTTGTTCACCATGTAAATAAATGAGTACTTCCTCACAAAAGCATACATGTGTCTCCCTCAGCTCTACATGACCTGGAGCCTCAGCAGCTGCTGCTGTTTGTTCAGTCCTTTGGCATCCCTGTGTCCAGCATGAGCAAACTGCTGCAGTACTTGGATCAGGCTGTCTCTCATGACACTCCAACGCTGGAGGAGAACATCATGGATAAGCGTAAGAGTGCTGCAGATACCTCACGTTTAAAATTGTTAAAGATTTGTAGATATTAAGACTTATGGACTATACTTATATCATCTTGTATTTATCCTCCAATAGACTACATGGCCCACCTGGTTGAAGTGCAGCATGAGCGAGGGGCCACTGGGGGGCACACTTTCCATTCCTTACTGAGCTCCTCTCTTCCACCAGACAGAGGTTGGTGAACTCCCAATGATTGTGTATGAGCTCGTTGTATTTTATGACATCGACAGAAGTTTTCCATATTTTACTGTCCCTCGTAGTGAAGGTAGTATTACGTACAATAATCTAAATATGTTTAACAATATAAAAAATGTTTATACTTGAATAAATGATTTGATTTCATAGTGCTTTGAATGCCAAGTGTCTGACCAGGAAATGTTCAAAAATAATTGTATGACTCCATGTCCCTCCTGATAGATGCTGCCGAAACAAGTAAGGCCAAAGTTACCGTGGAAACGCCGCACAGCTCTGTGAAGATGAGAGCAGCCAGTCAGCTTCCTGCAGTCGGGCCTGATGACGATCTCACTGGCATGATGCTTCAGGTGGGATGTACAAGCTGTTTTAATGAAATGTTTCTGCAATATGATATTATTTATTATTTTTGGATAAAATGTGCATAAAAGACAATTTTGTGGCTAAATCTCAGTTGTTATTGTTATTAAAAAAAAAACACACACTATAGCAATAGTGTATCCTCATGATTTCTTCCAAACTGTTGAGTCTCTTGTTTGTCAAGCTGACCTGTTTCTGTTTCCCTTGCTCTTAAAGATATTCCCAATGAAAGTGGACCCTCGCTGGCACGGCCCCCCTCCCAGCCAGCTCTCCCTGGCCTTGCAACAGGCCCTTGCTAAGGAGCTGATGCGGGCCAAGCAGGGCCAGATCCAGCAGGGAGGGCTGGCTTTCCGGCTCCTACAAGCCATTGCAGCCCTGCTCACCTCTGCTCATGCAGGGCCCATTGTCCTGTCAATGCACCACAGCCATGCCCTCTCCTGCCCTCTCATGCGCCAACTGCACCTCTACCAGGTAAGGCTTGCTTACAATCAGCATATCATTCAATTTTCAGTAATAAAACGTTGGAATATAAGATTTATTTTCTTGTTTCTTCCAGCGACTCGTGTCCCAGGACGTGGCTTTCTCCTCACTATTCCTCAAGGTCATTCTGGAGATGTTGATCTGGTTGGACAACCCAACTGTGGAGGCGGGGCCGCTGAAGACTCTGCTCAAATCCTTCGCTGGTCAGAACTCAAGCAAACAGAGGCACAATGATGGTGAGACCCTCAACGCTTCATCTTTCAAAAATGTTGAACAAATAATTGTATATAATCAGAGAGTGACAAGTGTGTGTGCCCTGCAGTGCGTACAGGTTTCCTCCAACTATCTGAGGCTTTGGCATATCGCAGAGATGTTGAAGGGCCACTGAGAGCCGTCATTGCAATGCTGAAAGCTGGAGACCGATGTAATGCAGAAGCTGAGCTCATTGGGAAAGGTATGCATGTGTTTTCACTTATCATCATATTAAGTGTTTCAAACATTTGTGAAATAATGAGTGGCTTCAACAAGTGTTAATTTATTACAGTGTTGATTAATGAAGTGAAAAGTATTTTGTTTTTAGTAAAGATGTCAACAGTTTTGTATAATTGTTTACTTTTCACTGACCTCTTGAATAGAATTGTTTTTTTTTAATACAGGAAAAGTTCTAAAATTCCCCTTTTTTAAATATATATTTATAAAGTATTTTGACAACAAAAATTAAACTTTGACAAACGAAAAGTGCTTTTACTATAAGAAAAAAAAAAAAAATAAAAAAGCAGAATAAAATAAAAAAATAATAAAAAAAAAAAAAGCAGTAGCTGATTATTTTTCACATTTTAACATTTGATAGCCCAGGTGAATGTAATCAAAAACTAACGTTTGGGTTTGGTTACATAACGATGGATAATGGGCTGTCCAAACTTAAAATGCTCTAAAAAAAAAAGTATATATATATTTTCCAGTGTTACAAGGTCTGATGGAGGTGAGGTCGCCGTTTTTGGAGGAGCTGCTGTCTCTGTTGATGACTGTTGGTACACAGAACGGGACGGCCGGCCCTGTTGCCATGGTGATCTCCTTGCTGCTTCAGGAGAGTGAGGAGCAAGCAGTGAAAATGGAAGTGGATTCTAACAAGTGAGCACGGCATATTCTATTTCCCTTTCAAGTCATGCAAGCAACATTCATATGTGACAGGACTAAATGACCAACGCCTGTGACAGAAGAAATAGCAAAGCAGGCGCTCGCTGTCTGTGGCCGTGTACTTCGGGAAAAAATGCTATTTGATTTGGTTCGGAAAGGTTTAATTGGTTTTGCAGCTTTACAGATTCAGGAGCTGTGAAAATCAAAGAACACTTTACAGAATCACTGCCTGTGAGGCAGGTAAACACTCAGAGTTTGCTCAGACATTGACGCGTCCAAGGTCTCTTCCAAGCAGTTAAAGTAGAGGGAGATAGAGATCTTATTTGTATTGCTAGAAAAGACTGCCTTGCTATACACAGTTTACTACTGTGTATAGCATTTGGCATTGCCAAGACAGATTTCATATGACAAATGTAATGACAAAATGTAATATTTGTTTGTTGAACCAGTACGTTGGGACATCATGCATTAGATCTTTAGCTTAGCTTTATTCTGGATATAGGAGGATACAAGATTTAATTGCAGGTCAGGATAAAAAACATTCACAATAAATTGATTGCGATTCATTTCTATTATCAGGATATTTGTGAAAATCCTTGTATTGTGACTTAGATAAGCTGTTCAAGTGGCCGCTATAGTAGAGAGGGGAAAATATATTGCATTAAAAAATACTTTAACAAGTAAGAAAAAAACAGACTTGCGCAATAGTTCTATTTTTGTAATGTATACAAGGGACCTTATTAATTGTGATAAGCTTATTTAGGTCTATTAGATTACATTTTTTTACAAAAAAGGATTTTCCTGTGTGAAGCGATACGAAGAAATGTTTTTCAACAAAGTGTTTGGGGAAGGAATTCCAGTTTTAAAGCAAGTTTTAAGCATATATTCATGATTGGGAAACACTATTATTGTGGCCAGGCCAATGCCTCATTCTGGATGTATTGCACATTATCTTATTGAGGGTTTTATTAAGAAATGAAATATGTATTCAATCACATCTGACTCCATAGAGGTAGTAACCTTTGAGTTTCACTTTTGCCAGCAGCTCCGAAGTGACAAAGTCTGGACTGAGCTCTGGGCTGTTGGTTGATTGGCTGGAGCATCTCGACCCTGAGGTCACCTCCGTGTGTCCGGACCTTCAGCAGAAGCTGCTGTTTGCCCTCAACAGGGTAAGATAAGCCTCGCCTGCAGATAATGTACTTCCCCTGTCTTATCACACTGGACTGAGTGTCTGCTTGGCGTTCCTGATTCATGCTTTCTCACTTGTTCTCTATTCCAGGCAAGAGGAACCCCTGCCTATAGACCTTATCTCCTGGCTTTGCTTACACATCAGTCAAACTGGTCCACCCTCCTTCAGTGTATCGGCGCTCTTCTCAGCAAACGCAGGGACTACAAGTACGGACATTTCTTTAAAGGGGCCCTATTATGCTTTTCAGGCTTTTCCCTTTACCGTAGTGTGTTAAAAAAGGTTTTGGTGCTAAAATCCCAAATTCACGCCAGAAGAAAATTTCTACATTACACTTGCGCTTCTATTGGCTTGCACTACAACACATTTTACATAATAGGCTAAGGGGATGGATCTCTAAGTGGTAGACCAATCACAACAGAGCCGGCCAGCTAACCAACCAGAGCAGACTGGGCTCTGGTTTCAGACAGAGGGTGAAAAGAGGTGCTGCAGCACAGGCAGTATGAGAAGAATAGAGAGCTTTTTCAACATTAAAGCATGGAAACATATACGCACAAAATACAATTATGAAACCTGAAATTGAGCATAATTGGGCCCTCTATCTGCCATAGCTTTTTTTTAACTGATTTATTTGTAATGTGTTGTCTCTTTCAGTGAGAGCTTATCCTTAGTGTCTTTCTGTGTAACGTTTTTTAGGCTTGACCCATCATCCGCCCTGGATTTCCTGTGGGCATGCAGCCACATCCCGCGTATCTGGCAAGGACGTGACCAGAAGATCCCTCAAGTAAGATCCAAATTCGACACACAAAGTTATTATACACTTTTTCCCCCCTGCATTTCTAACGAGACCAAAGTCAGAGAGAGTTCACTCTGCTGCAGCAGATCACAGACGTATTGTTCTTTGTACGTCTTCAGAAGAAAACAGAGAAGTTTGTGCTGCGCCTCAGTTCTGAGGAGCTCATCAGCCTGGTGGACCTGATCCTGGCCGAGTCGGAGCTGAACACTCGCGACTCACCTCAAGATGACAAAAGCAGCTTGAACCAAGCCTCCTGTTCCCTCATCCAATCCAGGCTGCCCCTGCTACACTCCTACTGCAGCGGAGAGCTAGAAAACATCAAGAAGGTCTCCGAGTACCTCATTAACTGCACCAAGAAATATGAGGACAGGTAAGGAGTATATCACCTGTCATTTAGTGTGTTTATTGTTTCAATGCTAATCTTCTAGTCTTACATTTGTAACTATATCACATTATGTCACCGTCACCAAAGTACTTAGCTCATACATTTGGACACATTGTTTTGTTCTTTCTAATTAGCCCAAACACAGAAAGTCAGCTGGTAAACTTGGGGTAAATCACACTAGATGTTCCTTCCCGCTGCAGATGAACCTTTCAGACATCCTCTGTCAGCCACAATGCTGCGGAGCAGGGGAAACTCGATAATTAGGTCTATTGGTGTGAAATTAAAACCAGCAGAAGTCGTCTGTACTGTGATCTCTTTAAAAGCTCAGTGTATTATAATGAAGCCAAGAGGATTAAGGCTGAAGCTCTAAACTTGCCTGTGTTGTGAATTCCTGCTCTGACTTAGCTGTCAGAGATCAGGGTGCAACTCTTTGTGGAGGCAAACCCTCCTTTCATGAATATGTCTCTGGTTATTAAACCACTTTAATGAGGAAACTTTGGCCAAGGTCAAGCAAAATGAGCTTCCGAATTACAGTATTTTAAGTACAGCTAAGCTGTCTGTTAAAAATTGTTGCTTGCAGAAACATAGCAGGATAAAAACATGTTGAAAGTAAGGGTTTTGGCCTTGTGTGGAATACACACTTGAGTCTATGTTGAGCATTCTTCTTGGGAAACCTCGCTGTCAGATAAGCTGCTGTTTATTCCAATTACACACCAACTATTGAACAACAGACGGACTCTTTACTCTTGGTCAAGGTCGTTCTGATTTGCTTAATTCCTAGCGTGTATTACACACTTCATTTAGTACAGAGTACATCATCTGAGCCCGACAAGAGCCTTAAAGGATTTTATAAAACCACAGAGACTTCAAGGCAAATGCCCCAGAATTACATTACGCTATTCATGTGCCTAGTTTGTGTTAGTGTACATGAATTATTCTCGCTTGTAGACATAAGTAATAGAAAAATGCTTTATCGTGCTCTTATCTAGGATCTCATATCAGCTCTGCTCATAATCCAATAAAAGAGATGAAGAAAGTGAAGTTTTCCGTGATACCAGGAACACAGTTTGCTTTATAATGTTAGTCCCACCATAGAGTTTGAATGCTGTGACAAACTTTGTCTTGCTGCACAAAATTGGTCAACCAGCCAATGTAAAAAAAAAAAGAAATAGCTTCAAGCCGCACAACTCATATGTCAACTGAATATGATTAGGGATTACAGATCAGATTTCTGTGTAACTACGCTTCTAGCTTTAGCACAGAGCCAATAATCAAATGTATTTCCCCTCGTGTGAACGACACATTCCTGCAGTTGGTTTCAACGTTTACCTTTTTGTTTATTTTCTCTTTCAGTGCGATGAATAAGCGGTGTCAGAACTTGCTGCTGCAGATTTATCTGCACTTCCCCGAGGTCATCCAGCACGTCACTCTGCCAGAAGGCACCTTCAGCAGTGGGGGGGCTGCGGACGGCAGCAGCTGCAAGGTAAACATGTCTTACCTGTTTGGTCATAAACATTTACCATCTAATTGTAGGTGATTTCGTTGTTAAATGTGTTGCCCTGATATGTTCGGTCATTCTTCTTGTGAATATAAGAGATGTCATACTGTACATGGACCAGATGCACTTCATGTGGAGTAAATATCTTGGGTCATATTCACAAACATTTAGGGAATACTCTATTAGTCCTAGACTGAGACTTTTAGCAGTTGTTCCCCTTAGGAGCTCTCTTAAGGGCAAAGATTGATTGTAAATGTATCTACCAGAATCTGGTAGGTAGGTGAAATTCTTAGAAAATAATAGTTTTTAAAGGTCTTTCTTAGAATTTTGTTTTAAGAAGCTTTATGAAAACTGCCCTTGGTTAGATTTATGACTTTCCTTAACCCTTTGGCCGTTTTCGCATACTTTTGTCTTACTAAGAAATGTTTGGCATGTCAATATTTGGTATCTTTTTTTAAGGACAACCTCACCTATATAACTTGATAGTTATTTCTTTTATTTTGAGATACTATATGAACATTTTGGACCCAAAATCACAAAAAAACGTAAACACAGATTTTGAAAATGATATTATTTTTCATATAGGTAACACAAACATACACAACAAAACGGTTTGAAAGCTGGAAATATATACATGGGATGTCACTATGATAATGTGAAAGTTTGATTGAGGTGGCATGAACCTATATACACATTTTATGAACAAATAACAGGTGTATCCATCGGCTTTTTTTCCTAATTTCTCAAGTTCTGTCAACAGTAGGCACAACAAAACATTTAAAAGCTTAAATAATGTACATGGGATTTCATTCTGATAAGGCAAAAGTGTTATTATAAATATAATACAAATATATATATATATATACACATTATGTACAAAAATCTGTTTTTTCTGTCTTTATCTGTGCCACGCTTCAAAGCAGTTTCTGTGAACTACCACACAGAGGGCATCATCACAGGCTCCTCCTCCTCCTCCTCCTCCTCCATGTCAAAAAACAAGCTCATAGTTTGACTCACGTTCAGAGTTCTCTTCATCATAGTTGAATCTTC